AGCACCAGTTGTCCCGCGCTATCGTCTCACCAGCAAGAACGATGCGGCACACTCAAGATCCTTCTGCAAAAAAGCTTTAATGCATCTTGAGAAGAAGAACATAAGCTTACAGGGCGAAGACCCCAAATGTCGAAAACCCAGCCCTTATATAGGTTAATAAGCCCGTCTTGGACGTGGCAACTCTTGATTGGTCACAAACTCATCAGCCCATATCACGCCACGAGGTAGGCAGAGACTAGAAGGTGAAAAATTACTTCGGGCATGCGTACTGACTTATTTACTGCTCAGCATGAACCGGATGTGAGCGCCATCTTGTAATGGCGTCTGCAGGGACGGCAGGCAGCTCCCCACAGTTATTGCCAGCTACTGCCACTCCTCCATTCTTGTGGGTGCCGCTCCTTTGTTCTCATGGGGGTCAAGGCTGCTCCTCCACTCACCCTGGGCTGAGGCCACTCTTCTGCTCACCTGGTGCTGAGGCAGCTCTTCTGCTTGCCCTGTTCTGCCTCCTGTCGTGGCCTCTTCTGCCCAGTTCCAGAGTGCAGGGCTGGTGAGAAGACTATGTCAGCGGAACACCATTCAGACACAGGAGACCAGGTTCAGTGACACAGGTTTGCTTTATTGCAGGAAGGCACAAGCTTATATAGGGGTAGTGGTCCAATCACAGCAGAGCAAGTAGGATACCTTATTAGCATAACAGCTTTAGCGTCTTATCACAGTACAGTAAGTAGGATACCTTATTAGAATAACAGACTTAGCATCCTATTAGCATAACAGACTTAACGACCTATCACAGAATAGCAGGTAGAATGCCTCATTAGCATACTGGGTTTTAGATTACAGAGCCTGGATCCCTGGAAACCACAAGACCCTGACTGTTGCAATATCTAAGTGTTGCAATTTGTAATTCCAAAGGTAGTGATTAGGGAGTGGCGAGCTCTAGGGATCAGTCTCATGATCTGCCAGTAGTATCAAATGTCACAAGGCTTTCCTTGTGGCTCCAGTGGTCCAGCCATTGCCTTGGGCCTGTTGTATGGCTGTCAATAAGACTTTTACCCTAGGCTCAAGCCTGTCTCCCACACAGTTTTGTTTTTCTAG